ATGATAAAAATCTTGTTTATTAAGCAACTTGTATGGAAATATTTAGAGTGTTAGCCAGCCTGGTGGCACTGCATATAATGAAGAATTCCCAATTGGTTTAAAATTTTCAAAGCTTTAAAAGATCATGGTAAACTAATTGATCGGTTATTCTGTAGTTTACAGCGAGACATCGATTTGCAGACCCGCCGTCATACTTGTAGACTTTGTGTCTTCAACCTGATTCTTAAGCATTTTATGAACTTAAGGTTTGATTCTTTATCAATATTGCCTAATATTAGTTACTGGTTCATTAATGAGTCGATTATTAACTACCATGATTTAATTAAAAAATACAAATCTAACATGCCCAATTATTAAAAGTAAAAAATATGGCAGGTATGATTATACGGAGCTGGGTTTGTTATGTAAAGGATACAAGTCTTATCAAAACACTATAAATTTATCTGCGATTCATTTTTCTAAACCTATTTCTAAAGCCTATTTCTAATGCACAATGGAATTCAAAAGCTATCTATTGCTTGAAAAGTATGCTTTTGACTCAAGCAAAAAAAATAATCAATATTAGAGGCGTGCAATTTTATTGTTTTGAGTGTTTAGAAAGACACTGCTTTAACGTTTGCGAAAGTTAAATTATTTCTTCAAAGAAATGTCATTAAAATAGAGGCTAAATTTTTGAGACAATGTAATAAACTTTGATCTGCAATGTATGTTATTATCTATCAATGTATGATATATCTTTACTCTAAGTTATATAAGTTTTTGTAAGCATGGAGGCTAGCCACACTAGACGTTACTTTGTTACTTTATTTTTTTGTAACTAATATTTTAGTTTATAAAGGTCATTCCTTTTAAAAACAAGACTTTTCAAATCTGTCACAACAATCGATTTTTAAAAGATTTTTTCATTTCAAAAAAATGAGTTTGCACAGAGGGTTTTTGAATCTGTTACAGTGAAAGTTATTTTAAAATACTTTTTATAATATTTCTCCAATGGTAGTAATAGGGCAAATTGATTTTAAGAAAAAAATGTAAAAAGTTCCCACACCTATTATGCATATATATATATATATATATATATATATATATATATATATATATATATATATATATATATATATATATATATATATATATATATATATATATATATATATATATATATATATATATATATATATATATATATATATATATATATATATATATATATCAGAAATGAAAAATATATATTAAAAATTTTAAGTTTTTTTTAATGTATTTTAGAACTTTATTTTAGGACTGTACAAGAAATCATTGTAACAATTTTAAAGATCTTTGTTTACCAATCACAACATTCTGGTTTTCCGTTTAGCCAAACAAAGTTATTGTCCACACAGTTAAGTTCTGTCTGCACCTTAATTGTTTCATTATACAATGTTTTACAGATATCTGGCTCAGAGTCTCATTACGACTTGCCCCTAATTGAAAATGTATTGGCATTATTGGCTCAACTTTTAGCTTATCAAAACTGGAGTTTAGAGATTAAAAATGGAGAATCAGTGCGCTCAGATCTATTTGATTGGATGATAAATGTAAGAGTATTTGATTGGATGATAAATGTAAGAGTATTTGATTGGATGATAAATGTAAGAGTGTTTCTTATTTGTCTTATAAACATTTGATTGATGATTTGAGAATTTTTAATTATGAACTACTTAAAACTCCTAAATTTCAAAACTCCATTTTTTTTTTAAACTTTTGATTAGTTTTTTAATTAACTTAAACTTGAATGAGGCAACATAATACAATTGTATTAACTAAGGGGACATAATACAATTGTATTAAATTTTCAAAAGTTATGATAAAGTTGAATATAAAGAAAATTATTCCTTCAAATTGATATTCTAAAGAGTTTCGATACATAATTACATACATAATTTTTCGATACATAATTACAGAGAAAATATTTTGCTAAATCAAGCTTCAATTTTTTGGAATGATTTGCCAGAAAATGTCGTTAAAGCTACTTCAGTAAATTCTTTTAAAGCAAGACTTAATTTATGGCAGCAAACAATCACGAGAATTAGTTGTCATAGTGGGCTTAAAACACATTCACTGGTAACAATACTAGACACAGCATAAACTAATACTAATACTAACTTCATTTTCCAAAAAAAATAGTTAATTAAATATAAATGTTTATTATAAATTTCTAGTATGCAACATTTCTAGTATGTTTGAGCCACTTAGTTCATGAAATAAAAGCTAGCTTTAATGCTTGCCCAAAAATATTTTATTGACTGCTGCAAAGTTTTAGGTTTTACATCTTGCAACATATCTTGCAAAAAACATTGTTTTTCTTGATTTTTTCAGGAAATTTTCTTTTTTCTAGATTATAAAATCTTTCCAAGTGGATAGAATTGGTGCAGCTGCATCATTCATGGGCAAAGGTATTGTCAAAGCATCTATAGTATGTTTGTGCCACTTAGTTCATGAAATAAAAACTTCAGGTACATTATGTGTAAGTACTGGTTTTAATATTGTTTTAGTCAAGAAGGTTATGTTGAATGTGTGTTATTTAAACAAAACACTTTTCAAAATATTGTTACCCATAATCTTTCGAAAAGCTTTTATTTTGTCTCATTTTTTTTAAATATATAACTTTGTTTATTATTTAGCATGCTATCTGTAGAATTTAATAATAAATATTAAATAAGTAATTACTTTAACAATTTTAGAGCAATAAGATATATATTTTTTATTCTAATTCAAATAAGTATTACCTCAAGTTAAAAAAAAAGAATGAGTTAAATTTAATAAAAATAATTTAATAGTTTTTTTTTTAAAAAAAAGAATCATTGTACTGTATTTAATGTTATTTGTGGAGTACCATAGTGCTCCACAAATAACATTGAATTCTACAGTTAGCCTGTTGACTGTTATAACAAAAGGATTCTATTATGCATTAGATGGAGACATTGAGGCTAGCAAGGCAAGGAATCTCTTGACATATTAAAAGTTTGGCATCTAAAAGTTTTAAAAATTGTTGAATCATTTCTTTGTCTGTCCTATTGTAAAAAGGTTGCATATCTTTTTTTTTTTTACTATACCATCATTCAGCAAAGTTGTTGTTTTGTTTTTTTTATTGCTTTTTTTTCTTTGCATTTTAACATTTATTAATCTAGTTTTTTTCCTCACACAGTTGTTGGTTACTTTAGAATTCTCTTTTTACTTCATGTTTTTTCTTCATTCTCTTTTCTCTTCATATTTTTTTCTTCACTTTCTTTTCTCTGCATGTTTTCCTGAATCATACAATCTACAGTTTTTTGTCTTCTGTAAAACTATTTCTTGCTGTTTAAATTTTTTTTTTTTTTTATGTAACTTCCTACTTAAATATTGGTTGCTTACAGCCGTGTTGGGAGTAAATTAGTTTTAAAAGAGATTTTTATAACCTAAAATTTAAAAAACATTTATATGGTATTTGCCTAAATGAAGGCAATATATTGAAGTACAAGCTCAAAATTGGGATATTATCAAGTTTGGTTTGGTTTTAATCCCAATATGGCTCATTAAAGTTATGAGTCCGCTCATTAAAGTCACGAGTCCGTGCTCTGGATGAAATTCTATATACTGTCAAAATTTGTTTTTTCATTGTATATGTAAATGTTCTTTTTTCTTGTAATAACCGTTTTTTTAATTTAAGCTGCATATTTATGTTTAAATGTTCAATGTACATTAGGTTTTACAATTTTTTATTTTTTAACTTTCCTCAGCTATTTAAAGGGATCCCAAATTACCAAGCGAAGTAGCGTTCATATTAAAGAAAATGTTTAAAAAAAAACATTTGGGCTTAATTTTGCTAAAAAAACATTTGGGCTAAATTTAAGATTGAAACTAAATAATGAATGCATACCAACAAAATTAAAATTATCGTTTTAGTCGAAGCTTGCCTTCTCCAATTTTTTTTTGGTTCTCGGGGTCTGTTTAATGTTAACCGCAATCTGCAGACTTGATAATTTATTCCATGCGTGTTTAATTCATAACAGTTTCAGTATATGATGTCATCGCAATATCTTTTTAAGGTAGCGTTTTTTTGTTGTTTTTTTAAAGATATAAGTATTTTTTCTACTACAACCAGAAAATCAAACATTTGTATAATTTTTTTCTAAATCACAAAAAATATTTGTGATTTAGTAAAAAATTATATATATATATATATATATATATATATATATATATATATATATATATATATATATATATATATATATATATATATTTATAATTTTATAATTTTTATTTTACTTGTTTTATTATTACTTTGTTGTAGGAGCCAGCCAAAATCATGACACAATTATACATATTTTGTGATTATTAGAGTTCGCAGGCATAGAAAAAATAAAGGCAGTTTGATGCGGTTTTTCGTTTTATATTTAGTTCATATGGTTTAATAGAGTTGTTTTTTTTATGTTTAATTTACATTTAGTTATGGTTTAACTCTTTCAATACCGCAAGCCACTGGTAGCTGCTTTTGAGTATGCTTTACAATTTATTATGCTTTGTACATAAATTTCCATTCTAGACACATAGAATTTATTTGTTCTGAAGATTTAATTAATTAATTCTCTACATAATCAAGAAAAAATAAGAGCTATATTGTGTAATTAAAAAAAGTTATCACAAAGTTAAAAAAAATCTTGAATTATCCTTCTTAAAAAAAACTTAAAATTTAGTTATAAAATAAAACAGTGCTAACACTGTAAAATTTATCTTGTAAAAGCGTTGAGTATTTAGTTAAGTAATGACCAAAGTATTTTGAAGAAAAAATATACTTTTTATTCATTGAGGTTTGTTTTATACTTAATGTTTTAGTTACTACTTACAAAAACAATAGTTTTAAACACTTTGCATTTCTTATTGTTTAATGATGCATGTTAAAAACTTTATTATCGAATTTTAATTAATTGTCAATGTTATGCTGTTCAAATCTTATTGAAAAAAATGTCCAGTTGCTACAAAAAAGATTTTGTTCGGCTGATAGCGAACAATTTAATGCGATTCTTTGTTTTTATATTTATATTATTACTGTTTTTTGTATATTTTATTGCAAATATTTGTTTTAACTTGAATTTAGTTTGATTCAAAGGGTTATTAGTAAAATAAGTTGTTTAATATTTATTTTCTACTTAGATCAGTTTATATGTTTTATTGAAGTCACTTGATTTTTTTCAGTTTATACTTTAAATTAATTTATACGCTTTTGTAAAATTATTCTTTTAGTATCGAGTTGATATTTAGTTTAAACCAGTACGTTTTACTGTAAATATTCGTTATATATTAAATTTTTATTGTTATAAATTTTATAAATTTAATTTTTAATTGCATTATAAACTTTTTTTGGGATTTAGTAAAAAGTTATACAATTAACATGGTTTGGTGATTTTGGCAAAAAAATAATACTATATCTTGGAAAAAAAAAACTTAAACGATGACATCATATACCGAAACTGTTATGAATTAAACGCGCATGGAATAAATTATTAAGTCTGCAGATTGCAGCTAACATTATACAGACTCTGAGAACCAAAAAAAAATGAAGACAGCAAGCTTCGACTAAAATGTGAATTTTAAATTTAATTGTGTGCATTCATTATATAGTTTTAATCAAAAAAATTTAGCCCAAATGTTTTTTTTAAACATTTTCTTTAATATGAACACAACTTGTCTTGGCAGTTGGGGATCCCTTTAAATATCTACTCAAGAAAAAATTATAATATAATTTCTAAGAAGATGCTGCAGTTGGTTTATATTATTATTTAATTTTAATTAAAGTTTGGTTAATTAAGTCCATGTTTTTTTAATTAATTTTATGATTTTGATTTTTTGCATAGATTTCATATCAAATAGAATAAAATAGGAGAATTAAATAAAGAAGAATAAAATAGGAGAATTAAATAAAGAATAAAGAATTAAATTTCATGTTTCCTTGATGTTGCAACAGAAAGTGTTTTATTTTTTCAATTTATAAAAATGCAAAAAACAAATTCTATAAAAGTCTAAAATCTTAAATGTACATCAACCTAAAATCTTAAAAAAGCTAAAATTAAATGATATAATGTATTTTTGTCATTGAAGTATTTATGATTTATATCATTTATTATTATATAAATCATAAATAATATCAATTATTTATGATTTATATCATTTTTTAGTGCAAAAAATATTTAACAATAGTTAGTGTTGTTATCAACTTCGACTAAATCGACTAAAAGTCGTCTAGTCGAAACTTAAAATTAGTTGACTTTGAAAAATCTAATAGTAGATTTAATCGACTTTAGATTTTCTACTAATTGACTAAAAGTCGATTTTTATCAGGTCCTAAAATTCTTATCTTTATCTCTTCGTTTGATTTAACATTGTCAATATTTAATTTTATTATGATGCTGACCAATTAGTAAAGATATATCCTTATAAGTAGATTATTTTATAAAGATAAAATATTTGTAAAGATTGAGCCATGCATTATTATATGTTTTTAATTCAACCAAAATATCTGAACATTGAACCTAATTTTCTATTTCACATAAAATCAGCTCTAAGCTTACTGTATGCTGTGCCATTAATGTTTACTTTTTCTGGTTATACTGACTCATTATAAAAAGTTAATTCTTTAAAAAAATATTTAATGTGCCATCAGTTAACAATGCCAAAAAAAAATACAAAGTTTTATAAATCTGAAATCCACAAAAAAGTTTGTCCCTACCAGCCTCCACCTTGATACACCATAAAAATTATGCCTTACGAATTTCTTGCTTTATTTGTTTTGATAAATGATACAGAGAGAATCTTTTTTTTTTAATTCTCTATGTTTTAATTCAATTAAAATGCAGTAAATCAATCAAAATTCAATCAAATTATTTTTATTGATTGATAAATATAATAATTCCCAACACTTTGACATTTTAAATGATTGGTTTAACTCCTTTTAGAAATTAATAACGATTATAATAATTCTAATAATAATAATGATAGATACTCATGCAAATCCTTTAGTATTCTATTTCTGCATGAAGGAATTCATATCTGAACACACTTGAATGCCGAGACTTCTTTAACTTAATTGTAATAGCTATTTTATTCTTATTTTCTTTTTACAATAGAAATAAAATGTTGAATCAAAACATTCATAAAAGTAAAGTTTGGAATTATTTTGTAAAAAAAAGCAATGACTCTGCAATAACAATGTGTAAATATAAAGATACTTTAACAAACAAAAATTGCAACAAATTACTTAAATACAATAAAAATACAAGCTCAATGGCAAATCATTTGTTTAGTAACCATCAGATTAATACTAAAGAGTCTGAACTAATATTAAAGAGTCTGAACAAATGTATCTATCATTTGCAAACTCTCACTCATTTTGTTCAAGTTCACAGAAATATAGAAATTTAGAGGAATTTATGCGTAACTTTGTTCTTCTAACAACATTTTCTAACCACAGATGGATGGACATCACAA